TCAACATGGTGAAACCCCGTCTCTACTAAAACTACAAAAAATTAGCTGGGCATGGTGGCGTGTGCCTGTAATCCCAGCTACTCAGGAGGCTGAGGCAGGAGAATTGCCTGAACCCAGGAGGCGGAGGTTGTGGTGAGCCGAGATCGCGCTATTGCACTCCAGCCTGGGTAACAAGAGCGAAACTCCGTCTCAAAAAAATAAATAAATAAATAAAATAAAATAAAATAAAATAACTAGAAGAGTGTAATTGGATTGTTCATAACACAAAGGATTAGTGCTTGAGAGAATGGATGCCCCATTCTCCATGGTGTGATTATTTGACATTGGATGCCTGTACCAAAACATCTCATGTGCCCTATAAATATATACACCTACTATGTACCCACAAAAAATAAAAATTAAATTTAAAAAATTAATAGAAAAATAATAAAGATCAGAGTAGTACTAAATGAAATAGAGAAAAAATACGAAGGATCAGTGAAATGAGAAGTTGGTTTAAAAAAAACAAAATTGTGCTCACTTCGGCAGCACATATACTAAAATTGGAATGATACAAAGAAGATTAGCATGGCCCTTGCGCAAGGATGACACGCAAATTCATGAAGCGTTCCATATTTTTTAGAAAAAAAATTAATAAACTGCTAGCCAGACTAACCAAGAAAGAAAAAGAGAGTTGACTCAAATAAAAATCAGAAACAAAGAAGGAGACATAGCAACTAATACCACAGAAATGAAAAAACCCATCAGCGACCATTATGAACAACTATAAGCTAACAAACTGGAAAACCGAGAGGAAATGGATAAATTCCTGGACCCATACAAGATTGAATCAGGAAGAAATAGAGAACCTGAACAGACCAATAATGAGCAATGGGATTGAATCAGTAATAAAATGTCTCCTAACAAAGGAAAGCCCAGGACTGGATGGCTTCGCTGCCATATTCGATCAAACTCATAAAGAAGAACTAACGCCAGTTATCCTCCAACCATTTCAAAAAATTGAGAAGGAAGGAATTCTCCCTAACTAATTCTATGAAGCCAGAATTACCCTGATACCAAAACCAGACAAGGATGCAAAAACCACACACACAAAAAGAAAACTATAGGCCAATATCCTTGATGAACACAGATACAAAATTCCTGAATAAAATACTAGCAAATCTAACCCAACAGCACATCAAAAAGTTAATATGCCATAATCAAGTGAGTTTTATGCTAGTGATGCAACGATGGTTCAACACACACAAATCGATAAGCATGATACATCATATTAACAGAATGGAGGACAGAAACAATATGACCATCTCAATAAAAATAGAAAAGGCATTTTCTAAAATTCAACATTCCTTCATGATAAAAACTATCAACAAACTAGGCATAGAAAGAACATACCTCAATATAATAGACTATACATGATGACAAACCCACAGCTAACATCATATAGAATATGCAAAAGGTGAAAGCCTTTCTTCTTAGAACTGGAACAAGACAAGGACGCCCACTTTCACCACTCCTATTCAACGCAGTATTGGAAGTCCTAGCCAGAGTGACTAGGCAAGAGAAAGCATAAAAGACATTCAAACTGGAAAAGAGAAAGTCAAACTGCGCTTCTTTGCAGATAACTTGATCTTATATTTAGAAAAACCTGGGCCGGGCGCGGTGGCTCAAGCCTGTAATCCCAGCACTTTGGGAGGCTGAGGCGGGTGGATCACGAGGTCAAGAGATCGAGACCATCCTGGTCAACATGGTGAAACCCCGTCTCTACTAAAAAAATACAAAAAATTAGCTGGGCATGGTGGTGTGTGCCTGTAATCCCAGCTACTCAGGAGGCTGAGGCAGGAGAATTGCCTGAACCTGGGAGGCGGAGGTTGCGGTGAGCCGAGATCGCACCATTGCATTCCAGCCTGGGTAACATGAGTGAAACTCCGTCTCAAAAAAAAAAAAAAAGAAAAGAAAAACCTGAAGACTCCACCAAAACACTCAGATCGATTCAGTAAAGATTAAGTTGCAGGATACAAAATTAACATACAAAAATCAATAATGTTTCTATATACCAACATTGAAGTAGCTGAGAAAGAAATCAAGAAGGCAATTCCATTTAAAATGGCTATAAAAATAAGATAAAATACCTGGGAATGTATGTAACCAAGGAGGTGAAAGACCTCTGCAAGGAGAACTACAAGACACTGATGAAATAAACTACAAAACAGTGATGAAAAAAATTGAAGACACAAACAAATGCTCATGGGTCACAAGAATCAGTATTGTTAAAATGATCATACTAACCAAAGTCATCTATGGAGTCAATGCAACCTCTGTCAAAATGCCAATGTAATTTTCCACAGAAATATGTAAGAAACAATCCTAAAATCTGTGTGGAACCAAAAAGGGGCTCAAAGAGCCAAGAATAGAGAATCCAGAAATAAATCCCCATATGTAAACCAACTTGTTTTTGACAAAGGGTCCAAGAACATATACTGGGAAACTGACACCCTCTTCAATATATGGTGCTGGGAAAATAGAATATTCATATGCAGATGATGAAGTTAGACCCCTATCTCACCATATACAAAAATCAACTCAAAATTGATTAAATACCTAAACATAAGACTCAAAACTATAAAACTACTAGAAGAAAACACGAGAGAAACACTCCAGGGCATTGGTTTGAGCAGAAGCTCTTTAATGTATAGCTCCATTTGTCTAGGTTTGGTTTTGTTGCCTGTGCCTTTAAGGTAAAGGAAACAACAGAGTGAAGAGACAACCTGTTGAATGGGAGAAAATATTTGCAAAATGTTCATTCAACAAGAAACAGATCTTTAAAGGAGACACAAATAGCCGACAGGCGTATGAAGAAACGCTCAACATCACTAATAAACAAGGAAATGCAAATTAGAACCATAAAGAGATACTATCTTATCCCAGTTAAAATGGCTACTATTAAAAACACACAAAAAAGCCTTCAGCCTGGAAAACTGTCAGCCCCTGAGGCTTTCAGCTTAATAGGATGCTGGTCTTTAAAAAAAGAAAAATGAAAAAGAAAAAGCAAAAAAAAAATAACAGATGCTGGCAAGAATGCATAGATAAGGGACTCATGTACTGTTGGATGTGAGTGTAAATCAATACAGCCATTATGGAAGACAGTATGGAGACTTCTCAAAAAACTAAAAATAGAACTACCCGCTATATGATCCAGCCATCCTCCTACTGAGTATTTATCCAAAGGAAAGAAAAATCATTATTGTATGTAAGGGATACCTGCATCCTCATGCTTATTGCAGCCCTATTCACAATAGCAAAGGTATGGATCCACCTAACTGTCCCTCAACAGATGAATGGATAAAGAAAACGTAGTAGGTATACACAACAGAATGCTACTCAGCCATAAAAAAAATGAAATCTTATCATTTTCAGCAACACAGATGGATCTGGAGTTCATCATCTTGAGTAAAATAAGCCAGGTCCAGCAAGACAAATATCACATCTTTTGACTCTTATGTGGGAGCTACGAAAGTTGATCTCATGGAGGTAGAGGGTAGAATGATAGTGATCAGAGGCTGGGAAGGGTGTGTATGTGGGGGGGCAGAGAGGATGAAGAGAGGTTGGTTAATGGGTATATAATTAGATAGAAGGAATAAGTTCCAATGTTTGATAACAGAGCGGGGTGACTGTCATTAACAACAATGTATTCTGTATTTCAAATAGCTAGAAATGTTCCTGACACATAGAAATGATGAACTCATTATTATCAATTAAAAAAAGTGGTTGCACAATGTGACGGGCAGGGGAAGTTACTTGTTCCTTAAAGCCTTAATAAATATTTATGCATCTGAAAAAACAATCAAAAGATAGCCAACTGAACCAAAATAATGCCTCTGGAATAGGCCATTGCAGCTAATTATTGACTATTTCATTAGCTCATTTGTTCATTAACTGGCTCATTGACTGATACCTTTCTCAAATCATTTGAATTTCTTGAAGAAAAAAGCTATGCCACAATAGTACTGAACAACTGTCGCCCTTTATCTTATGTTAATCCAGGAGTGCCCAAAATGGAATTATTTCAATTAATCACCAAAGCATATTTGAAAATCTATTTTTAAAAGTCTTTTCATTTCTGGGTTTTAATGCTTCTAAATCAAAGTAAGTGAGAATTTTGCCATATGTAAATTATACTACAAACAAATTGAACAAAAGTACAATGGAAAATGGGGCCTAGTTTTCAATTACAATAGCTACCACTGCCAGGCGAGGTGGCTCAAGCCTGTAATCCCAGCACTTTGGGAGGCCGAGGCGGGTGGATCATGAGGTCAAGAGATCGAGACCATCCTGGTCAGCATGGTGAAACCCTGTCTCTACTAAAAATACAAAAAATTAGCTGGGCATGGTGGTGCGTGCCTGTAATCCCAGCTACTCAGGATGCTGAGGCAGGAGAATTGCCTGAACCCAGGAGGCGGAGGTTGCGGTGAGCTGAGATCACGCCATTGCACTTCAGCTTGGGCAACAAGAGCAAAACTCCGTCTCAAAAAAAAAAAAAAAAAAAAAAAATAGCTACCACTTTTCGAACAAGTAGCATGCTATTGTTTAAAAGTTGTACATGTTATTTAATTCTCCCAATGAGTTAGGTATTATTGTTTCCATCTTACTGATGAGGAGCGTTTTAGTCACTTGCTTAAGGTTACACAGTTAAAAATTGGAGACTGGACTCAACCCACGTCTGTTTGACTATCAGAAGTTGTATTTCCTTTTTTTCCTTTTCTTCCTTTCTTTTTTTTTAAGAGATGGGGTTTCACCATATTGGTCAGACTGGTCTTGAACTCCCGACCTCAGGTGATCCGCCCACCCCAGCCTCCCAAAGTGCTGGGATTACAGGCGTGAGCCACCGCGCCCGGCCAAAAGTTGTATTTCCATCTTTAAAAGTTTGCATTTGAGTTAAGTAGATTTCATTAGCATTCTCATTACTGGATGCTACTGCTTCTAATATGTTTTTCCCTTCTTAGGGACCAGCATGAGCGACCTTCTGCCCTCCAGCTCCTGAAGCACTCCTTCTTGGAGAGGAGCCACTGAATATACATCAAGACTTTCTTCCCAGTTCCACTGCAGATGTTCCCTTATTGCTTAATTGGGGGGAATGATGGCTAAGGGATCTTTGTTTCCCTACTGGAAATTCAGTCTAACTCAGTTTAAACAGATCCTATGGTGTCACTAACTGAAAGTTTTAGTTATAAATTAGCCTCCTCAAGTGTTAGGCATGATTACTCACAGTATCAGAAAACATTTTCTTAATAACAACAAAACACATTTCAGTGTTTACAGTTTTGATTGTCCAGGAACTACATTCTCTGTTGCTTTGTATGATATTTTCTTTTATTTTTCACCTGTCCTGTCAATTTTAATGTTGTTAGTTTAAAATAAATTGTAAAAACCACTTATATTTTCTTGCTTGGTGAGTAAAGACGCTTACTTAATCATTCCAAAGCAGACTAGAGGAAGGCAGAAAGGTAAGTTAAAGAGATTCTAGATTCTGTTTACTTTGGCAGCAATCTAACCCTTAAAGATTCTTGGAGGCTCAAGGCCTGATAGGAGGAGATGAGGGCCTTAGCATTTCATTAACAGAGGGCCCCCGAACTCCTCAGATGGCTCCAAGAAATTGTGCTAGTTAAGATGGCATCATAAACCTTGGGCTGCTTTCCCTGTAGCTTATTTGTAGTGATTTGAATTCTTCATCTATTTGCAGAGTGAATCAGGTCATTACCACATGCAGAAACAGTTGGTAGGACAAAAGCTAGGTCTGATAAGGGAAGGATGAATCAACACACAAACTTTTCCAGAGACCTTTGCTCGCTTCATCTGAATAGTTACCTCTGATGAGGTCATCCTTTAAATACTTTCAAATACTGCCATACCTAGAACATTAGTAGACCTCACAAAAGTGAGCATGGATGAGATAATAGTATTACAAGCTATTTTAAGCTGGTGGATTAAGCAATTTTTTTTTTTTTGACTGAGTCTTGCTCTATTACCCAGGCTAGAGTGCAGTGGCATGATTTCAGCTCACTGCAACAACCTCCACCTCCCAGGTTCAAGCAATTCTCCTGCCTCAGCCTCCTGAGTAGCTGGGATTACAGGCACCCACCACCACACTTGGCTAATTTTTGTATTTTTAGTAGAGACGGGGTTTCACCATGTTGACCAGGATGGTCTCGATCTCTTGACCTCGTGATCCACCCGCCTCGGCCTCCCAAAGTGCTGGGATTACAGGCGTGAGCCACCGCGCCCGGCCTGGCTTAAGCATTTTTGATAAGGTTTCCATTGCTGTTGACCTCACTCATTCACCAAACTTCACTGGCACCTATTGTTATTATTTTATTTTTATTTTTTTGAGACAGAGTCTCACTCTGTCACCCAGGCTGGACTGCAGTGACATGATCTTGGCTCACTGCAACCTCTGCTCCTAGGTTCAAGTGATTCTCCTGTTTCAGCCTCCCGAATAGCTGGGATTACAGGCACCTGCCACCACACCCAGCTAATTTTTGTACAGTAGTTTTAGTAGAGATGAGGTTTCACCATCTTGACCAGGTTGGTCTTGAACTCTTGACCTCATGATCCACCCACTTTGGCCTCCCAAAGTGTTGGGATTACAGGCGTGAGCCACCGCACCTGGCCGTCATCTATTGTTCCAAGCTATAGCCACAGATATTTTTACTGGCTGCCATCATTTCAAGGTGGCACAACTACAAACTAGGAGTATTCCAGTACTAATATCCGGATTTGTCAAGACCAAGATGCTTTAGTGTTTATGAAATAAATGTGAAATGCAGCCCAGGTGAGGTAAAAACAGGTTTTACTTGGAATATGTAACATTAGATGAGTCTTTGTAGGTATAACTTTTCTCAAATTTGTACACTGTTTTTTCATATTTAAAGAAATTAAGGGATGAATATGTCCTTTATTTTACTTACTTGCATCTCAACATGATCAGAAACAACATAATTTTGAAAGGGTAGGGCTTATTTCTTTTCCATTTTGGAGGGATCTTCAGCATTCTTTCAAATCTGAATATTGTATTGGATTTTAAAGCAACTTACTATTTACAATCAAGCCTGTTAAACCTTATGGGGAAAGGGCAAAGAATAAGACCTGTTAATACTGTGTATAGAGATCACAGTAATGGACACATGAAGTTGGTGTTAACAAGTTTACTCCTATTCTACTGAGTTACAAGGATACTGAACACAATTTTGGAAAAGCTGGGTGGGGTGGCTCACACCTATAATCCCAGCGCTTTGGGAGGCCAAAGCGGGTGGATCACTTGAGGTCAGGAAATTGAGACCAGCCTGGACAGTATAATGAAACCTCATTTCTACTAAAAATACAAAAAATTAGCCAGATGTGATGGCATGTGCCTGTAATCCCAGTTGCTCGGGAGGCTGAAGTAGGAGAATCACTTGAACCCAGGAGGCAGAGGCTGAGCCACTGCACTCCAGACTGGGCAACAAAAGCAAAACTTCGCCTCAAATAAACAAAAAACCAAAAACCAAAAAACCCAAAAAACTCAAAAAACTCCATCTCAAAA